TTCGTAGGACAGATCGAACTCTGCCCTTACATAGTTCTGAGCCGGTGCGTATATTGCGCCTGCAAATACGCTCACCAATGCCAAGACCGTGACCGTTACGGTTGTGAACAAGCGGAGAGCCAGAGGGAAGTTCCGAGGATTTTCTGGATCTGAAGGGCCGTCCCAGTCGAGGAGCGTCGCCCGCCGCTCTGTAGGCAGCGTAGGAACCTGGGCATGATCCTCTCGTGACTTGGGCATTTTCGTAACTTGCGGGAGCCAATCGACCTCATGTCATCCGGCGATAGATGTGCAGGAGTCAGCAAATCCGGACGATTGCCCGGTTTTATGAGTGTTTCCATCTCCAACTGAGCAGCACCCTTGCGCCGATAGTGGAGATGTCATCTCCAATTAACGGCCATGAGGACCAATCGAAAATCAAAGATGGCTAGCAGACATACCCTGACCTTCGGCCAAGCGTTTATTCCCACCGAAATCCGGAGATCTGCAGCTCGGAGGTTTGCCTCCTCGCCGAACGTCAGCTACTGAACGCGGCCCGCGATGAGATATCATAGTGCCCGAATTCAGTAGATCTGTGATATTATTACTCCTCTCGTCTTAGAATCGATAAAAATTGGTATCCTCATGTGAGAGAAGCTTCCGGTTACCTCGCCTCTGTGACGGATGCCCGGGGTATGACATCATTAATCCTAAGGTAGACCAAGGTTAGGCAATTCTTTTTTGTCTTGTCTACCGAAGAAATATACTTCTAGAAGTCAACCAGAAGCTCAAAGGCTGCACTCTATAAATTGCCATTCACGGCCCGAATAAATCAGATTCTTTGTTTCTTTGTTTCTAAGTGTAGAAAGAGGCGCTAATGCCAGGTTTAAATCTGAGTTGTCTTCGTTTCGAGGGGCGCCATGGCACAGGCATCTTATAATTGACTCTAGTTCAAAAATAAGGTGCACAGAGATAATCTTCTTACTGATCCTAGAGGAATATTTCGTATTGCCTTTTTTCCCGGGTGAATAAACTATGTTGCCATTGCTAGAGAGCCTCGGCTACAAGTTCAAATTGCGAGTTGACCCGCGGTGTATTGTTCCTGCTGCAAGCTCTCCTTAACTAAGTAAGTACGGGCATGTGGGCGTAGGTACGCGAAGATGAATCTTGAGCGTATCATATAGGAGAAAATTAGAAGGAGATTCCTGATTTGATAAACAAGCGCTGCCTACCCTAGAATGATGATGATAACGCCCAAACCCACCGCCAGTATCCATGCTTTTCTTCGGGGTTGTCCTTCTCCGCTCTTTATAAGGTCCTGATTTATGTTATCATCCAAAAGGATATTGTGAAATTCAACTGAGCTTTAAATGCAATGTTATCACTCATTGTGTTAAGTAGGCCTCGATCATAACGGCCAACATAGCAGCAGTGGAGCAAGAAAACGATTGCTTCACACGAGATAAAGCAATGCTGCAAGTTATATCCTGACTCCTGAGTGAAACATGAGTCTTGAAAGTTGTAATAGGCAATATATTACTTATAAAGTCGGTCGAAGCTCAGAAGATGGGCTCTGAACTAACTCTTTAAATGGGAAGAAAACATGAATCCCCAGTGGCGCTATAAGAATAAATATTTGGTCACTCTATCTTGTCAATGGAGCATTCCTGAGGACATTTGATCTACCTGGTTGGGGCTATTAAGCAATAAATACAAGCTACTTTTTCATTGAAGAAAACGAAGAAGTTTTGATGAGACAAGATTCAACATCAGGAGAAATGCCAATTGCCCCGATACTACCGAGCTTCCTCCGACCGAGGATGAAGCAATTAATCTTTTTTGCAGTGTGCGCGAATAACGGCCAGTCGTGACCGGCGCACAGGATGGCACCTTCATCCTATTACATAACCTTCATTAAAACACTCGCGCCACCGCCCGAATTAACAGGTCGAGAGATCCCCCATATAGCTCCCCGGATGGGGAGAGGTAACTGGGGCAGCAGAGTCATGTGCGGGTGAAATTTCTTGCAGCGGTCGGAGAAAACGGAGTTTTGAGCAGCATCTGGGGCCCCAGACCCATTTTATTGGATTGCGACCCTACAATTGGCTGGAAGGATGCCGAGGATAATTGAGTCGTGTCGGACTCATCAGAGTTTTCTCCGACCACGACTCTTACCCACTTTATATGATCCTGGAGAACCCGGACTTGTGAGCCGACAGTACCTCGTCGCCCCTTATCGATTTGGAGGGAGACGAACGGGGATCATTTCATGTTCTGGGATGTCTGCGATAAGGGTAGGAATTGAAGAATGGAAGACGAACAGCTCTCGGGGTCGACCCCTCCGCAAAAGACAAGGAAGAAGAGGATCCCAGTAAGTGGTTTTGAGATGAAGACTGCGTATTAGTGTTGGCTAACCGGAGAGCGTATATAGAAAGCTTGTGGATCATGTCGACAATCCAAAGTCAGTTCATCATGCATGTTACATGCGTATTGCTCTTGAGAATAGCAACCTAACGCTCACGTCAGGTCAAATGCGATGGTCAAAGGCCCTGCTCACGGTATGTAACGCCGAGATGTGCCCTGACTGAGAGAGCTACTAACAAACCTGAAGATGTCGAAGCCTGAAGAAGGTTTGTGTGTTCACTGAACCTCCAAAAGATGAACAGGAACGGTACGTTCGCTTTATTACTAACTTCTTCTCAAGCACTGCTGATCATATGTCGACATAGAAAGATAGAGAACCTCGAAAAGGAGCTAGATTCCTTAAGAGCTCAGGTTCAGGTTTATCAGCAAACAACGGACGTGCAACATGATACTGCCTTTAGTATCCCGGGTCCCAGCAGCGCCCCTCCCATTGATGTCCCGGTGCCTCAGATGCAACCTCCCGGAGGAACTCTTTTGGCGTCTTCAAGCGCGTTCAGTACTACCCGTTCACCAGTTGAGTTCAACCGATCGCAGTTACAGCAGAACAACAGTTCGCCGAGCACGACGTTTCAGTCATGTGCCACCACCTCTACGGGAAAACGGAAGAGGTCCCATTTTGACATAGAACCCATTGCAGCGCCCGATTTTGCTAGTATGGGCTTAATCTCAATGGAGGAGGCAGAATCATACTTTGCAACTTTCTTCCAAGGCTGCGACCAATATGTCCCAGTCTTTGACCCGAGGTTCGACTCCATGCATGGCATTCGAAGTCGAAGTGGGCTTTTATTCAGTTCCATCTGTGCTGCCGGCTGCAGAATTCTGAAAGGAACGGATTCACATGCGTGGCATTTACTAAATTTTCACATCAAAAGAGTCCTTAATGCTGTCCTTGCCACTCCAGCCAAGGCCACGCTGGAAACGGTGCAAGCCCTTCTCGTAAGGGCCTGTTTTGCATCAGAACGGTCACTCCTAGTTACGTTGGGCATACGGCTCGCCATCGACCTCGCCTTACCAGAGGCTTACGAAGAACTAAGCACCCGATTTGTATCAAGAACATCGTGGAGCAGTGATACACCGGTGGACACTTCAGAGGACGACGCGATTCTCATGCGCAAAGCTCGGACTTGGCTTCATCTAATCGTTCTGAGCCACATACTACATGTCGACGCGAGCGACCTTCTTACTCTGAAATTCCGTGGAGATGTTCGGCGATGTAGAGTTCTGCTTGAGAGCCCATATTCAACGGCACTAGACCTACATTTATTTTCCCAGGTTGAGCTGAACGTCCTCCGATCATCAACATACGCAACTCTATCCGGTTGCTCCAGTCTGCCCGACGAGGATCTCATGGACGTGATCCGGGATGCCAAAATTGACATTGATGTTTGGTTCAATGACTGGATGCGTATTGTTGAGCGCTCCCATTCCAATAAGCGTTGGCTGGCGCTCCATCTTCGCGTACAGCGCTGTTGGGCCGACACAATGGCCTTCTGTCGCGCAGTTCGTGTCTCCGGGGTTGAAAACGTCGACGCAATGTCTCCTACGCAGCGGAACATCCTCCTCATGGCGAAGGATTCTCTAAACCAGCATTTGAGCATCATGATCGAAGAGCCACGCGAGTATCTGCACAACCTGAAATTCGCAATGGACTTCGTGTGGGCCAAATGTTCATTCTGCTTCTTACTTCTTCTTAAGCTGTCTATGCTTCTGACTGAAGATGATGAGGAGCAGAGCAGGACTCTCATTCTGCAAGGCAGGATGCTGCTCTCCGAGCTGCACAAAGCAGGCGGAACCTCCAATGGCGGCCGGAGTAACACCAGCCGGCTATACATTCAATTGATCCAAACTGGGCTGGAGAAATTCAGCCGGACAGTTCTCCATGAGAACCTATCGCACTCCCAGACTGGAACCAGCACGCCAAGCAGGCAGAGGAACGGGAGTGGAGGTAGTAGCGGCGGAGATACCAGTGTTGACTCGGCTGGGCATAATGAGCTTGAGTCCTTTGTGCCGGAGCAATTCGTCTTTGAATGGGACTTCCCGGGCCTGACTCTCTTCTCAAGCCCTACAACCGAGGCAGGATGGCTCGATGACTTCCTGAAAGGATCTTTAATTGGTGGTGAAGACTTATATGGGCTTAGATGGTCCTCGGTTGATGTTGGCCCGGAGTATTGAAGTTTCTATCACTACATGACACGAGCATGAAAGAATGATTAATGAGATGTGAGAGATAAGAACAATCTGGGTTAACCTAAACGGCGAAAAGGAAACAATTTTGGGACTGCATGCGACTTAGCCACCTTGACACAGTTGTATTAAAAAAAAGTAACAAAGAGTTATCCCATGAGTTTAATAAAAGGTCCGCGTCTCAACCTTAACTTCGTAGCCGTAGTTAAGCTGGAGCAATGGGCTGGATCATGAAGCCTTCGCTTCAGCCCCGGGGTTCTTAGAAAACAGCTAGAAAATTGAAAGATTTTCCCCTTCAAGCAACGGAGTGAACTACGTTCATCGAAGAAGAGAATGATTTGTGCAACTTGAAAGAATTTGCCGAAGCTCTATTGAGAGCAACCACCGTACCATCTACCATGCCCAGGATTCCCCTTCTAGCTCCCATAGAGTGCCGACTTGGTAAGGTTCCTGTGCAGTAAAGAAATTACATCTGCTTTCAGCCGAGAGCTATGATGTGCGCCTAGTCGGTAGAAACTGAACCCATCCAAGGTCTCACCGCGCCTTTTTCTGAAGCCGAAGAACAGGGCAAGGAGTATCGAGCCTAACGCCCAAATGCCAAATGGTATGACCGCTACTAGGGCGGGGACCTCCCCTCGGGTAATAATCTTGCTCTCGACAGATGATGACAGATTCGGGTGTATCCAGCTCCCCTCGAATCCATACTTGCCATCATACATCAGCTGTAGTGCCTCAGTTCCGTATGCTAGCATGGCGGACTTCTGCAGTTCTTGAGGGGTAATGAATGCTCCATAGACCATAGAATTAGAATAGGCTGACATAGTACGGGAGTTGATGGAAGAAAAGAGGGCTATGTAGTTCTTGGATAGAATATCTGTTACTGTGCGCCCGAGCCTTGCTACAGGTTGCACGGCGTCATTGGATTGAAGGTACGTTCTAGGAATTCGCTCTTCGAAGGAGCTGAAAGTAGACGTTCTTGGGTCGAGATCGGCATCTCCAAATGTCGACGCTGCCAAGCATCGCAGTCCAATAGGAGGGGCGAGATCTATGCTTTGTTCCAACCAATTCGGAAGGAAGGTTTTTAATTTTTCCGTTTCCTTGACTTGGTCGCTAGTAAGAGTCGTGTTCTCGGCTGGCTGGCCAAAGTAGGTATTGTTGAGGTTCCATGATCCGTTCACTGACTTTTCAAACGGCGATGCCATATCTTGAATCACAGGATCGAGCTTGCTGTTAAAATTGCTAACCTCTGCCTCGCGATATCCAGTCGGTAACCTCAGCTGCCACATGACATATTCGAATATATCCCATTGTGAGGCCGCCTCTGAATCAAAGGTAGTCTGCGCTTCATATGACGCAGCTACTCGAGATGCGACCTCCACGTATGCATGTACGTTATGAGAATACGTTGAGACGCTTAGATATTGATTCTCGGAAGCGTGTTGCGGAGAGAGAAGAGTGAATTGTGACGCTTTTTCAACAATAGAGCAGTTGTAGGATACTCGGAAGCCCCAGGCCCTCCCGGAGACTGGGTTTCTCCCTTGGGGTGCAAGGAACATTTCCGGTAGTCCATCAGTCATCGGCAACGTGTTTGGAACACTTTGAAGACCCTTGTACCTGCTCCGGTCAATGTAGCCAGCGGTATAGATGATACCAATGCCAGGAACAGTTGCGGGTGACCCGACTTCCCATGCTTTCTGAATGGAGGGGGTATAAAACCACTCGGCACGAGAATGCAAGTTTTCCCATGTTCGACCAACCACCTCAGGCTTTGATTTCGTCTTTACATAACCGTTGGAGAGTTCCATAGTTATTCCCGAGAGGGGAAGGCCAATATAAAACGAAAGGCTGAGGAGGGTGAGAAGGTACCATAGCTTATAGTGTTGCAGAGATCCAAGAACTCTTCCCATGCCCGCAACCCAGTTCAACGGATTGAAGATGCCCCATTTAAGTGACTTGAAGACTCCATACCAGCCGGTATAGGCTTGCCTTGCCTCTTCACTATTGACAAAGCGTGTGAAGGAAAGCCCCCATCCTCCCGGGTCACTCCATGTGCTCCCACTGTGATTTAGCAGCCCGACCATGTTATTAGAGCGGAGCCATCTGGATTGAAGAGCGGCACACTCGGCTCCAGCAAGACCGTATCTGGACCATTCAAGGGCAAAAACACCGACGATGAACCAAGAGTAGAAGATCCACCGTTCGCCAGAGATGCCGTAATTGACAGCAGCATCCCGATCCCTGAGAATGAATAACTTCCAAATGAGACAGTAATACCCCACCACAATGAATGGGACTAGGAGGAGTACGAGAGAGCGTTTGATATGCAGGAGTTTTGGAGGCAGTGGGCGTCTTTCAACCGTGCTGTCCTTCGTGCTCTTGTTCTCAGGATAAGGGAGAAGGTGCTGTAGACTGTCTTGGGCTGAATATGATGACATTTTGGGTTCTTAGAATGACAGTGAATGAGGAATAAAAAAGCGTAATGATGAGAGTTTTTGGGCTAGGAAAAGAGAATTTTCAGAGTGCAGGAACCCATGGGATATATACTAGGTACCGCAACAAGGCTCCAGCCGAACCAAGATCATGTGAGATTTACTGCACATCATCCACCACGGGGATAAGAATATGCCAAGCAAATAATTCTATTCCCGTTTTTTTAATTCTGCTTAATAAGGCACATAATGCTATGAAATTGCTTTTAAGGGCATAGCTTATTATATGCATAGGATTGCTGTTGTCTCACATCGGGGGAATGCGGATTGGTCATTATTTGAGGGATGCTGGCTCAAGAGCATTTGGTTGGTTGGTAACTTATCAGCTATAAGCCATGAGTGGGCAGCTGAGCAACCATAATGAAGTCTTATCATGGTGAGAATCTAACTAGTACTCCCCGTGGATAGAATAACTTGCAAAGTATTCCCGTCATCACGCGAACTTCCGGCCGGCCCGTAAACCGGTAGATTAATATTGGGTTTGAGTTAAATTTTCGCAGCCATCACCAGATCAGCATCAGAGGCAGTATAAATTCAACAAAGATCGAAAGAAACCATATAGGTACGATGGGTACTATGAAGAAAAAGATCGACGGGAAACTAGGCTTTGGCTTTGCATGCTGACTCTGACCGAGAAAAGCCCACCATAACCCCCTCAATCCTACGCTGCGCCAAGGTAAGCCGCCACTATTCGTAAACGCAACCTTCACTCACCGGTAGAGAATCCATCAGGAGAATGGCATTGTGGTTGGCAATTCTAAGTCATCGACGGAGAGTTGTCATGTTGTGGTTACGGAAAGGAAAACATGTATGCATTTACGCATTCTCAGGTGGAAAGCATCAAATCACAAGCCGACACATCAGCAACAAAAGGCGCCGTTGCTTGATTGTAAATTTCTGGAAGACTGTAGGAAATCTGCTATTTAAAAAATCGACACGGGAGATCAACACTAGACGTATCACTCCCACACTACATCAATGGTTAGATAGTAGACGTTGGGTCACGTTCTGGTGAGTGGCTTAAGAATACCTGCACATGTTCCAATTCTCTTCGCTTTGCCGTCGGCATAAACTTTGGTCCCGGATTATCCATGCACTGAAAGGTGAAGCAGGTGCCGTCAAAATAACCCGTGACAGCATCGGCTGTAGTAAGCTCACCATGGTCACTTAAGCCGTGATGCCGTCAGCCGGAGCAAAGAGTGATAATAAACCCGCCACAATGCCTTCCAGCGACTCCGACGGCCGATGAGTATTTGGGTCTCGATTTCGCCACCCTGCGGCACGATGACCATACCGTCGGATAGGGCTGCGCTCCCTGGATCGAGAGTGGCGACTGGAAGGACGATTTTGGACACCCCGCTTCCACAAAAGGATGAGCCGTGCATGATGCAACGGAGATGCTCTCGGCAGGATTCCAGTTCCCCCAGTACAAAGGCCTACTAACCAACTATCCAATGTTCCGGCCAGGCATCTTGAAGCTATCTGTCGATATCTGTGTGGTGGCCCAAGAGGAGGGAGACGAAAAGCAACGCCCAAGGGGGGGTGATAGGGAGACAGCACAGACCGAACCGGCTGGGTGGTCGTAGCTGGTGTAAGACGTAACACCACTTGGGGTTTATCGGCCCGCCCTGCGCACGATGAGTTTCCTTTTGGGGACACTGTGATCTACGCAAATACGACTATTAAACGCCTTCACCTGATTGCCAAACCCAAAACGATCCAGCCTTCAGAATACGAACCTCCGTACCAGGGCGTCTACCAATCCGCAGTGAGGGTTGTCTCTGAAACATGTTAGATCACTTTAGGTGCCGGTACAGGGGTCTTGAGCTGACAACTCCGCCCATTGTCGACGACGGCGTTTCACCATCCCCCAAGATCTCTTCGCCTCATAAGTAAAGCAGAAATTCTCTCATGAAAGGCAAATTAGATGGTTCCTCCGTAATCTTAGGGAATAGCAATGTTCAACCACATCGTGAAGATCGCCTCCGGGGTGGGCCGGGCCGTCACTGACAAGCCGAGCGGTTCGCTCCCCGCCACGCCGTACAAGAATTCGATAGGCGACAGGCGCTTTCGATTGTGCAGGATCCAGAAAGACCCCTCCGAGAGAGGTGGTTTCTCCCTCGCTGTTCGCGAGTTCGATTTGGACTCACCTCCAACGTATTGCGCCGTGTCGTATACGTGGGCATCGGCCGACTTGGACAATCTGGGGACGGATAGACCCGGCGCTGAGGAGCGCATCATTCCCATTCTGGTCAATCAGATTCGCGTCAGAATCACCCAAAACCTTTTCGATTTCCTTCAGCAATGCGTGCAGTCAAAGTGGTTTCACGCTAGTCATAAACCAGAAAAGGGAGAGGTAGCCCACGATGCCAGTCTTTTCGTTGTCAATTATTTATGGATCGATGCCGTCTCCATCAACCAGGACAGCACGGAGGACAGGATCCGGCATAGGTCAATCGTGGGGGAAATCTATCTGAAATCTGCTCCAGTACCGATATGGTTGGGGAAAGAAGTCCCCAATCCTTACGTCAGATGGGTGCTGGAAGAGTTCATACCTGCTTTCAACAAGGCATTCCCACAGCCTGGCAGTCTCAAAGGCAAGGACCCAATGTGCACTGATCCAGTCTTCACTGAACTTCTGGGGCAGGCTGCCTGTCGTCGATGGCGCGATGCCTGGATTCCTTTCATGGAATTTCTGGGGAAGAAGCGTTGGTTTCGGCGAGGATGGGCAGTTCAGGAGGTCATTGTCCAGTCTCTCACGAAGAACGGCGAATCCTTTCTTCTCTTTGGATACTACTCGGCTTCTTGGCTACACTTGAGGATTTTTCTATCACTTCTCCACCTGGATGACTGGAATCCAGCCCTGGTAGCCGAGCTCTATCTGCACGGCTTTACTAGTACAGCAAACCGCACACGTGATCTTTTTGGGTCCGTGGCCAACATTACCGCGGTACGAAATAGCGTCCTTAGGTTCAGAAAGGCGGAGAGAGCAAGGAAGTCAGTTGAAAGGCGCCCGAGTGTCAGCACCAAAGACACAGTTGAGTTAGACCCATACGACCAAACCGAGCAGCAAAGGGCCTACACTGCTGCCTTCCGCGTTCTTCAGATCATGATGAGTTTTAAATTTTCCGACCACCGAGATAATGTATATGTTTCATTCGACATTCTTAATTTTCTGGCGGGCGACGGGCTACAACTTCAGCTTGAGACCGACTACAACAGCCCAGTAGTAGATGTTTACACAAGCATCTCCTGGCATTTTCTTAGTCACATGTCTTCTCTGGAGGTCCTCACCAGGGCCACTAATACTTCCATGCAGCATCGTATACCAGGGCTTCCATCCTGGGTTCCAGACTTCTCCAAGAGAATCACCGCGAACTTCTTTCAAACGGCCAGGACCAAAGCCGCCGTCAACAACCGAGGTCGCCTGCCTCGGTTTGATGCTTCCAACATGCCTCTTCGACGACCAATATTACAAGGACCCACTCGCCTATCTATCGCTGGAACAAGACTGGACAAACTTTCCAGTTGCAGTCCTTCTTTAGTCAGGGCTAGTAAAGGAGGCTGGGATTATAGTTGGATGATCCGTGCCTGCAAGCGGCTCGGCTCAGCATTGTACCAGCCTACCAGCGAACCAATTGACGAAGCTTTTACCCGAACGCTTCTAGTGGACTCTATACCGAAGCTATTCTCTTTGGACAAGTGTCCCGATGTGTTTCAGAGATTCTGGCTACACATATTTGCTACAACGTGCCGTTCGCAGCCCCCTTTGCAAAACACGATCCTCGAATCACTCCGCAGTATGGGTGATCAACTGCAGCTGGCAAAGTGGTTACCAGACGCCGCGGCCTTTTCGAATGTTATCGAGAAACGGACAAAGAAGACCAGTGAAGCCAGCCTCGGCCAGCTTTTTGGTATGGCGGATCGGCTTTGGAGTGCCAGAGTATGCTTCTGCACAAACAACAATTACATTGGAATGGGCAACTTCAGAGCTGAGGTAGGTGACGAGGTATGGCTACTCGAAGGTGGGAGAACGCCTTTCATTCTCCGGCGGCTGTCTAAAGAAAATGAGTATCAGCTCATCGGAGAGGCTTACTTGCATGGTTTCATGTATGGAGAAGGCATGACGCAAGAAAGAAGAAGCAATTTAGAGTCTGTAGTAATAGCATAATTAGCTGTTGGTACACATTCAGCGATTTCATCGCCACGCTTGAGAGCAGACTCTAACTTCGTGCTTTTGAACTTACTTGACCCTTATAAGGATGATATTTGTTCTGTTGCCCCTAACTACAATGGGGCAAGAAAGTCTCTTTAGTAGTCCTGCTTATAGGTTTCCATATGCTCTAAAGCAATGAATGATTAGCCAAGGTAGGAACGACTCGTGCGACCACTCTAATCAATTAAGACAGTCCTCGTCATAAAGAATATTCTGCTCTAGTGTGAAAGCCTCACTGGTGCCAACATCTTCCATTAAGCAGGGAACTGCCCGGTCGTATAGATGATCCGAGAAGCAGGCGATGTGCTTTTGATTGGGCAGGTGATATTACGAGGTTCCCTGTGGATCCGATCCTGCATGATGAGGAAGCCATTCTGAAATCGTTGGTTAACCCTGGTCTGGACTTGGACCTATTTCCCCCCGCCTCAGACCATTTTCAAACTGCAAAAAAACCTTGCGTATTTTGTTCTCCAGCACTGAATATGGTCGGGATTCCTCGGAAAACGTACTGTCGACCCTGTAAACGCAGGAGAGTAAAAGTGTGATCTCCAATTCAACTCGACGAGCTTCAAGGATCCGTGTTACTGATCCACCGATTTTGTTTAGTGCGATGAAAAATGGCCTCAATGCTCAGCATGCAAGCGCGCAGGATTGGAGTGTCCAGGTGCTGATAATCTGACGAAGTTTGTCCTCAACAATTCCCACAAAGTCACCCAAGACGATGGAGAGAATTTGACATCCCCTCCCGGTGGTACTAAATCATCGAAGACTGTGGCTACATTATCTGATACGAGACTAGCCTTGGCCAACAGAACCACAGCCAACTCTGTCAGGGAGACAAGAAATGGCTCATCCTTTCGTTCATTTAGATTGTTGAATCCCACGACTCAGTCCTCCTTGATGACTATAAGTGATAAACTCTCATTTCGCTTGGTCTCTCTAATGGGGGCAACTGCAGAGGAAACCTTGAAGCTAAGATTGAAAATCTTCAGTCGCATTCCTAATCGTCTGGATTGAAGTACTTGTCTTCAAGATGGCGTTGCCTACTGGTGCGGTTCTTGGATAGATTACCAAAAGGGATTGAATCAAATGAGTCCTACCACATGGCAGAAGTATGGAAAGCTACTCAGAAGTCTCCAAAAGGCAATCCAGGGACCAGAAGCATTGAATGTTGAGACCTTGGCTGCGGCGACAATTTTATACCAGACCGGAGGGCTCCTTAGCTATGAGCAGCACGAACCAAGCCGGATGCAGCAAGAGCGAGGTATTGTAACTTTGACTCGAGAAAGAGGGTTGCCAAACCCAGACGACCCGCTCGATGCCATGCTAGCATTTGAGAACCGAGTCATTATTGTATGTCGGAGCGCTACATCAGACAAATCTTAGTTACGTGCCATATGGTTAACCTTATTTCCACAGGAAACTCTAAGCCTCCGTTCACCGAAAGATACAGAGTTCTACTACACCGGTCCCTGGATACAGACTATGGAAAGGGTGGTGGAGAATGTTCTGGGGGAGCCAGGTCGTACGGATAAAATGGGAGCGCTGACCGCTAAATACAACCCACGTGTGGTAGGGTGGATAAAGAATCTACGACAAATCAGACCAAGTGCAGCTTCTTGCAACGAGATGGCCAGCACAATGAAAGAGGAACTATATCGGTGTCTTTCTGCCTTGGAGGCACGGTTTCCGGACTACTGGACGAGTCTACAGGAAGAATTCGGAGATATTACAGAAATTGCGGACCCCGAATTTTTCCTCGGAAAGAGATATCACGTCGAAAACGCCATGACATTTCACTGCTTAACTGACGCCTTTATGTTTCAACTCCTTGTACCTCGGATGATCGCCGTGCTCCAGAGGACGTACAAGGAACCACCAGATATAAGACTGGAATCGAGGTACAGGCAAATCTGCGTTCGGTATTGGATGTTTATCCCCTTTTTGAAAACGCAAGATCCAATCAAACTCAATGCTATGCCCGCTCTCTTCGCTCTAACATTGGAAGCTGCCACGAGCGAGGAGATAAGTCATATTATTGACGCTGTTCAATATATTGACGGGTTCCGGCATAAGCTAGGGCATACCAAGGAGCAAGTGGCTAAATCCCTGATAGGAGCGGCAAAAATTGTATTAATGTTTGAAGATGAGATGGAGAAGGAATTGTTACAGCAATGCTCTGCGACGTTGTCAGGAGATATCTGACTGGGACGACGTGGAGCACAACTGGACTGGCAAATTCGGTCCTTCTAGAGATGTTTCTAAAGGGGTAGAATAAAGAAACTTCGTCTTTCAAAATTCGTCTAGTAAACAAGAGATGTCTTACATAGGAAGAAGATTACGCTGATTAGTTGGTCAATTACTTTGGTGATCATCTTGAGACCTACCGTTTCTCTATGCGATGCTAGTGTTCAATTAAATCTTTTGACAACCGGACTATCGGTCCCCTTCAGAAGCAGCATCCTTCACAATCCTCAATGTTGTATTTCTAGGCTTGTTGCATTTTCTTCGCTAGGTATTGCAGCCCGGGGTCGAATCGGTGCGCTGTCGCCTTCGACTCGCGCCAAAGGTAACTAACCTCCCTCTCCATGTCTGTTCGTCTTCCGTGCATGGCACTCTAGTGGGACGACGGCAGCAAACTCCAAATGTACCAACGAGGAATATTATCCGATCATCGTCTGAGGGGTCAAAGTGTTGGTGGCTCAAACCTAATCGGCCAAATCTCGTGGGGTAGCCTTCTAATCATTAGTAAGAGGCGTCCCTATCTCCTCATGTCAGATTAACTCCTTATGTTACATTGAGCTCGCCATTCATGATGCCAATTGCGACCATTTCAACCAATGATGGCCCTTAAATATAACCCCAGAGTGGTAGTGATCGGCCACTATTCGATAACAACCATCATCTTGGTCTATCGATGACAGCAATGTACATCAACGCAAGCTACAGGGGAGTTGACATAATTGCAGGGTCGGTTATATATGTGTGACGGGCTACTCTTACCCGAGAAATATCTTTTCTACCTTATTCTATCAAAGCTCGTGCCGGCATACCCGTTTGCGCCATGTCAGATTCAAACGTAGAGAAAGTGGCGCCAGAAAGCCAACCTTCGGATGGAGTTGAAATCTTCGAGAATGTCAATGAGGGGGCGAGCAAAGACTTCGAAAAGTCACTGCTTAGAAAGCTAGATGGACAATTACTCCCAGCAGTGGGAATCCTCTATCTACTATCCTTTCTCGACCGTTCCAATGGTTTGTTCACTCTATCTATATCTCATTTACGATTGAGCTAACATCACGATCAAGTGGGCAATGCAAGGCTTGAAGGACTGGTCGATGACATAGGCATAAGTGTGTATATTGATTTACAGGGAGCAAACTCATGCTAACAGACCTGTCCAGCTGGAAATCAGTATTTAACCGGTCTCACTGTCTACTTCATTGGATACGTTATTTTTGAGGTTCGCTGCTCTTCCACATCTGTTTATGCCTCAACGAAACTAATTCTGAAGGGAAGATACCATGCAATATTATACTCAAGCGCACAACGCCACAGATATGGCTCCCGACGTTAACCTTGGCGTGGGGAATAGTGGCAACACTCATGGGTCTGGTACATAACCTACCCGGGTTCCTGGTATCTCGTTTCTTTCTTGGGGTCACCGAAAGTGGCTTATTTCCAGGAGTTGTCTTCTATTTCTCGATGTGGTATCAGAGACGAGAACGACAATTCAGGATCTCACTGTTCTTTAGCGCAGCCTCATTAGCAGGTGCCTTTGGTGGCATCTTGGCATATGTAAGTCTACAAATTGGAGAACAGTGGTGACCTACTCAGATTATGAAAGAATACTCACACAGTCCAGGGCATTGGGCGTATGAAAGGTGTGGTCTGGGACAATGGCTGGCGCTGGATTTTCATCCTCGAAGGCATCGCCACCGTCCTCATCTCCATTGCTGCGTACTGGTTTATTCAAAACTACCCCGATACAGCCAAGTTCATCACAGACGAGGAAAGAAAATTTATCCACTCTCGCCTAGCTGCAGACAGTGATGCAACGCACCAGGAGAAGTTTGAGTGGGCGCAAGTTGTAGAAGCTCTGAAGGATCCCAAGTGCTGGCTATATGGTCTCGGGTTTCACACCATGAGTCTGCCTCTTTACACATTTTCTCTCTTCTTAGTGAGTTGCAATCAAACCATTGCCAGTATAGACTCTTGACTGACTTGGCGCACAGCCCACCATTATCAAGAACCTTGGTTACTCGGCTGCCATCGCCCAGCTCCTCACGATCCCACCATATGCATTTGGCTTTGTCACCACCCTGACGGTTGCTACACTCAGTGAACGTCTAAATCAGCGAGCCATTTTCATTGCAGGTTCTGCGCTCTTTGCCGCGATCGGATATTCTCTCCTCCTAGGAAATACCGATCCTGTGGCCAGGCCCGGTATTTCCTACGCAGGTACTTTTTTTGCGGCTGGGGGGATCTATCCTGCCACGGCCTTAGTTCTGTCCTGGCCTGCAATCAACGTATCTGGACAGACGAAGCGTGCAGTGGGAAATGCAATGCAAATTACCATCGGAAATCTCGGTGCAGTACTGGGAACCCAGCTTTACAGAGCCAACGACGGGCCAAGATACATTGTTGGTCATTCTTTTGCTCTTGGATATCTTCTTGCCAATGTGGTTGTCTGCACAATCTTATGGAAGATCCTTAAGAGGGAAAATAAAAGGAGAGAGGGTTTGGCAGAAGAAGTCCAAGCTATTGGATTGTTGAACGACTGGCCTGGAGACTCCGATCCTCGATGGAGGTTTCAGTATTAGTTGCAGCAAGCCGTCTACCGTAGCCTTGACTTCAGAACATCCTTGACGGTAACCGGCATAAGGGCTTTCTCATCACCCAAAGGGCGAACTTGCTTACGCAGGTTCAGAATTTACCCATGTTGGGGGGTCTATACTTTGTATGACAATGGCAAAGACCAAACATCTAGACAACGCAATTTAGACCTATTCAGGTTCGCTCAATTGTAATGTAAAGGAGAATTCAAATTTTAAAAACACTTGAGTTTAAAGGATACTCTATCGCTCTTAGGTTTGAAGTGAAGTGAAGTGAAGCGCTAGATTGGACGGTTACTCCCTAGTCTCTGGTTGCTTGAACAAAATCTTTGAAGGTTTGAGATATTAAGTTCGATGAATTTGGAGGTAAAGCCACAATTTTCCGAGACATGTCGTGTTCTAATAATGGTTTACCACAGAGTACATATGTAAAATACTTCCCTAAAGACATTTATTTCAAGTAGAGCCATATTACTGGTGGAAAAGTTTGTGAGGTGTGGTCTAGTGTTGAACCCTACCTAGAACGCCCATAATGTTACATTTAGACAGAGAAACTGTTTTTGTTCAAAGTGAAGGCCTTTACCGCAACCTGAAAGAAGAGGAATTTCTTGAATTTCATGTCTCAACTAAGACCCAGCTATAGCGGCAGTCTGATTAGGACAAGTGACAACAGGTGGAGAAACGGTGATCCAAATGCGACCAATAAAGAAGCGAACGCTAGCACGAGCAACACGGACGCTACATTTTGACTCACCCATTTTTACATGATGACCAAGTACAACGCGTGAATAGCCGTTGTTATATAAGCAAAGTCAACGTTAGCCGGATGGCATGGAACACGCGGTTGGCGAAATTTGCCAAACGCGTCTTGAGCCCTTACGCGTCATGCTCAGACCAGGCGCAACATCACTGCCCTCAACACCATGCAGGCTCTCATCGACGAGTACCTCAATGAGGCGAGGGAGGATGGTGTGCAGATCAACGGTGTCACACCGCAGGTTATCAGTGGCCGGGGTATTGGTATGGTGGCGACCCGTGAGCTTGAGGTATAATGATCGTGCGCACGTTCAACGACACTTTGCTAAATGGTCAACAGAAAGACGAAGCCATCATGACCATTCCCACGGAATCAATCCGCAGCCTCCACACTATTCCTCACGATATTTCTATGAAGCTTTCCCCCGACATGTCGATCCATGGCCTCCTTGCCGCCGAAGTAGCTCTTCGCAACAATGCCTCGCAAGTTTGGTCTCAAATAATACCCACTTGGGAGGATTTCCAGAATACAATTCCATTACTGTGGCCAGAGGCGCTTCAAGAGCTTCTTCCAACAGAGGCAAAGTCCATTCTTATCAAGCAAACGGGTAGATATGAGGCTGATTGGGAGGCTTTCCAAATCGGATTCCCGAAACAGGACCGCCAAGGTTACCTTTACGCCTGGTTTCTTGTCGGCACCCGAACATTCTTTTTTGACTCACCGGAGATGACGTTGTATCCTTGGCACGATCGACTGTCGCTACTGCCTGTTGCAGATCTGTTCAATCATAGCGCCACCGGTTGCCAAGTCTCATTTCGAGATGAGGGCTATACAATAACGACAGACCGACATTACGACGCGGGTGAGGAAATATTTACCTCCTACGGGGACCATTCAAATGATTTTCTACTGGCTGAGTACGGTTTTGTCCTGGGAAAAAATCAATGGGACAAGGTTTGTCTTGATGATCTGATCATTCCCAAGTTAAGCGCCACGCAGATTTCTGCATTGAAAGAAAACGGATACTGGGGAGATTTCATGCTTCACAGCGGATCAGAGAAGAGCGATGCCATTTTCATCGCATTGCGGGTTCTCTGTTGCGATGTCTTCAATTGGCAGAAATTCGTCGACGGCGACGAGGACAAAGGTGGATCTCTTGCAAAGGGAATCGCGCTGTTACCCGAGTTGTTAAATGAATACAGGGATAAAATTGCGGTGGTAAAATCCAAAGTCCGCGAGCTTTCAGAAGGGAATGAGTCCCAAAAAACTTTGCTTTGGGATCGATGGGAACAAATCGAGACGATCGTTGAGGGGCTTGTTGAGACGCAATGGTGAAAAGGGATCCTCATATACGTACTTCTCAACCAATCCTAAAATAATACGCATTCAAGGTCTCTACCAAGCACTAGGCAGAAGGGTGATGCCCGTCCCTGCTACGTCTTAGTGATAGACAAAGTCTGATGCTTCTCTCAGTGTTAAGTTAGATATGCTTGTTGGGGAGCAACCCAGACAAGTTTTGTTTCTCCTCCAGAACGCAAGTCAACATGAACAATAGAAAGTGCGAGCTATTGCAGATGGTCATGAAGCAGCTACGAAGCTCTTGTTGAGCAAAGGTGCAAATCCAAACTCCAAAGAAATAGATCGTTCAAATTCCTCTGCACTGGGCTTCTAACTCTAGCACTGCCAAATTACTTAGGCTATTCAATGTATCTCACACCAGGATCGACGGTATCTTCCCTCTACTCCAGTTGTAGAAACCCTTCTCCGCGGTGTCTTGGGTGTTTTGAACTTCCTTGAAGCAAAACATAGACATAAGCAACTTTCTGCTCAATATAATTAAGCACAGACGAAAGGGAGAGAATATCCACATATTGGGAATGCATTTTTTAAGCTCTGGGAGATCAGTGATCTACTACATGATCCGCAGTGTCATGAGTGTATATAAGCCACGGCACAAGGTCTTGTAGTTCTGGCCAGCTGAGTTGGTGTGTATGAGCCAACACGGCCTCCGCATAGGGAAGGGACCATTAACTTCATTCATCGTTTATGTTTGGAATGGGTCTGAATCAAACGCTCCTAGTGCATACAACTTTACTTTGAATCCCAATAAAGCTCTTAGCCTTGAATGGAAGCTACGATCGCAAGCCTCTAACTTGCCGACTCTATTTTCTTACATGCGGAGACATTGCTGTGCCCCGGGTCCGAAGTATGAACCTATAAAAGGCCTTCGGGGCCCCAGGCAAAGGTCTAGAAACTCTTCCTTTTCACCTACAGTCCTACCACCTGTCATTGCCCAAACTTTAGAAACTTTGGCGCCTTACGTTCACAGAATACCATGGTTCCCAAGCCCGTCATCGCCATTGTGCCAGGAGCCCTGCACCGACCGAATGCATACTCCAGTTTCGTGCAGCTTCTCAAGCAGCGGGGATTCGAAGTCATCACACCACCGCTCGCAGTGGCCAGTGACTCGGAAACTCTCGACAAGGAGTTGACATATGTTGACGACGTCAAAAATATTCATGCCCAGCTACTTCCCCTCCTTGACCAAGGCAGAAAGGCCATCATTCTCTCCCACAGCTACGGTGGTTTGCCCGCCGTTGCCAGTATCGAGGGCCAGACATGCGAAGAGCGTGCCGCTCGAGGCCTTCCGGGCGGAATCATAGCTTACGTGGCCGCCTGCGCAGTCGTGTATCCTGTCCGAGGCAAGAGTTTAATGGGAGATGATACTGAGTTCCAGCCAACGCCCTATCATCGGATCAAGGTCAGCCCCCCCATCCTGCCCAGTTTTTCCTGCCTATATATCAACATCACACCTTCTTCCACTTGCATGGTATAATTATCTAAAAAAGAACAAATACAGGACGGCATCGTGACAGTAACAGACGACGCCCGTGCCCTTTGGTACAGCGACCTACCTGAGGAGGAAGCCAAAGAGGCATTTGGCGCACTACTCAAAAGGCAGACTTGGAAAAGCTTCACCGTTTTCCCGCACTTCGTTGAGAATGACCTCAAGATTCCGAAGACGTACCTGCTTTGCGAAGATGATCAAGCCATCCCAGCATCGTGGCAAGAGTTGTTGGTCAAGAATGGAGGGTTTGACTCCGTGCATCGGCTGAAGTCTGGTCATGCACCGTTTAGAAAGGTTCCCGAGGTGGTTACTAAGATACTTAAGGAAATTTGGGAGAAGAACACATAAATCAATTCCTTTTGTTTCTCCCCCTATTTCTCAACATTCTTATCTTGAGATCCAGGAGAGGGGAGATGGGAGGAGATGAAGAGCTGATGATATCGGGTAGACGGAGGCGAGGTCATAGACCCCTGAAACAGATCCACTGCTAAACGCGCATGATGTCTCTTATTCGGGTATGGCGTTGGTTTAAATCAAAACATAGCCCCTCGGATCCTTGTTTCTTGCGGAATGGGCAGTGCTTCTAACGTAGTGATGAGTCTCTCCTAAGCTGACAGCGGGTTTGCTTTCAAAAGTGTCCCTTTGCCATCCACCGTCTTGTGATACCAGCGTCCAAGACCCCCTCCCCCGCAAAAAGCTATACATACCTCCATTCTCTTTCATCTCTTCGGGTCTTCGAATCGAGTAGCGGAAGTTTCATCCTCTCATTATCTTCATCAAGTTCAAAGCCTTTTTCAAAACAGGGGTTTGTGTGATGTCCCATTGATAATGGTTGGGGTTCCTGGTCGATCTGGTGCATGCCATACCTGCAGATCACGGAAGAAAGGAGTCAGTATGAAGTTATCCCGGAACCATGAAAGAGAAAGAGCGTCTAATAAGAAATACAGTGCGACAGACGTCGCCCGACCTGCACGCAATGTGAACGGTCAGGGATGTTGTGCGGTGGATACCGGAAACCGCACCCATTTGTAAACAACACTGTTCGGGATACCACAAACAGTGGAGATGAGAAGTTCTCGCAAATGCAGTATTCAAAAACTAATTATGCTGAGGCGGCTAGGAGACGTTTGGCCGAACCAGGCATGTCGGACTCAAAACTACTTAATGATACAGTGTTTGAACTCAAGTATGTTGACATGTTCTGGGAGATGTACCTCCCAGATAGTCGCAACTTCACACCTGAAGCATGCCAATACTCTATAGCTGGCTGGGCGTTGCTTGCCCAGAAATGGGTCCATTATGACGGAGCCCTCAAATTGGCATTGGGCGCCATCAGTTTGAATACCATCGGCCAAGAACTGGGAAAGGAATGGATCATTCACGAGGCCAGGAAGCTTTATGGCGCTGCACTTCAGGGGATGGCGTCTTCAGTGCAGAATCTTCACAGAAAGAATCAAAATGCTATCATAATGACTTCAAGGATACTCTCGTTATTCGAGGTGAGATACATACAACTCAATGTAAATGCCAGTCGTCTAATGAGCCCCCTAACTCCGGAATCTTAGGTCTTATTTGGGGACGGCGACCTAGCAAAGCGTTACCAAGACTGGTCGGGACATGTTTCCGGAGAAGAGGCCATCATGATGCTTACAAAACCGGATAATTACATCAACAAAGATGCTCACGACCTCCTATGTGACGGGCGCCTGCGCTCGGTATTCTTGATCTTGCCATGATGATAGATCTTCAACTTTGGCTAATGATACCTAGGTATTTCAAAGTACATTCAAAAGGAAAAAGTGTTTTTTCAACGATCATGCCTGGAAGACTGTACCGTGGTGGCGCATCCCGAAGACAGAGAAGGACAGACTGATAGACATAATCCTTGAGGTTCCAGAACTCCTTGAGAGCCTCGATCATACTACATCAACGTATGATGGTGAGCAACACATTGTAGATATGCAAGCATTGGCAACACGTTTGCTTCAATGCGAAGAACAGCTCAAAAACTGGCATATACGGGCTAGCCAGCCCCTCATGATCGGGGAGGAGGCCCAAGACGCTACTGGATTGGCGGCCTCTCACCTCATGTCCATCTACTGGGCATACCGGGTCTTGATACGAGGAGTCTTAGAAAACCATCAGTTCTATCAAGAGATCCCGGCTTCAACAGTGAGCTTGTCGGCAATGCGAGACAACATCTTGCGCCGAACAGTACGCTTCAGCAGCGCGAAATCTGGCTGGTTTGGAAAGCAGATTATAGGCTTTCCAGTTGGGGTCGCCATGAGATTCGCACCACCACCGACGACTGTGGAATACCCTGCTATATGTGAGACAGTCTCCGCCCGTCTGTCTTTGGGGAGGTAACACCCAGGCTCAACTAGTCCACTAATAGTAGCGACATCGAGATTCTGGCCAGTTTAGACCGTTCGAGACCCAACAAGAACGCACTGGAATACAGGGATGAAATAGATCATTAAGGACATATCATGGGATACATATTTCTCGGCTCTGTCGGCCGCCTGACGTGGGCCAAAGCGCGAAACTATTGGCAAAAGGATGATCTTGCCCCTTGCATTAGCGATAGAGGAGAGGAATGGGACCATAATGTCACCTTCGTTGTTTCTTTTCTCTCGTTTCTTTTTCGTATTGAAAATTTCTTACGTCTGTAATGCACTTTGATATTGATCTTGTATTCACTCTAACCAGCCTTTACTCAGTTGAAGAGTTGACCGCTCGCTCGATAGTTCATGAGATATTATTACTAAGAGCCTTCCTATATTATACGGTGCCTAATTATTGGATAATAACGGAAAAGATGTCCGTAACCTCGTCTATTGACAATAGCCTAGAGCAGAATGACGGCAGATTTGTGGATAGAGTACCAGACAGTCCAGTGTCTCTGCCTGTACTTAGAATGGCAAATTGTTCGTTAGGTTCAGCCATGTCTTGACTTACCTAGGTAGTCAAAAGTTGCTTTTGGCGGTGTGCCACATCACGATTCTTGTAGGCCATCGAAGCAACAACGGCGGTGGTGGAACTGTGAGCTTGAAAATGCCAAAGGAAGGCGGCGCAATGGCATAGAAAGTGAAAAATCTAGTATTTAGCTAAGAGAAGAGCATGAGTATTTGTCTTTGATAAACATCGTCCTATGAATCGGATGAGAGAGTTCGAATGAAAGTAAAAAACAGCAATGAAGATGCCAGACCCGACATCTCAACGCAATGAATACGAAAGATTAAATAAACTCTGCTAGCCCGAGGCTGCAGCCATTCATAAGGAAAACTGTGTTAACCAATGAATCTCTCCTCCTAAGATGAATATCCAGTAGGAAATAGCGTAAAGGAACATGTTTGGCGATCCACGAGAACACCAACTGCACTATTAAAACCACAACGTACGTGCATTTGCATGCCTTTTGATTTGTAATAGTTTGAGACACGGCAGGTAGTGACATAGTATTGGCACTTGGACGGACTTGTTTGCCCGGTCGAATTCTTGGCATTCGGTAGCGTGATAAATTGATACGATTCACGAGGTGGCAACTGAAATACCCCTGGAGCAAGCCAGTTGTCAATTTCCCTTATTGGACTGGATGTGCGTAAAGCTTCCAATAGATGACTGGGAGCACCGCCGGATAGAGCGAGGGTGTGAGCTGTCCCGTAGAATTATTGAGTCCGACGTAATTAGAGAAAATTCCGAAAAGGGCGGTAAATGCTTGAAACGAAAGCTGGCTTCTATTGAGAAGCATGATGCAAGACCGATGATTGGTCCAACGTCACAGTTCAGCTGATGCGTGGCGCTGAATCCGTGATCACAACCTGGCTCAGTCCCTAAACTTTCAGCTGAAGAATGAACCTAGTCATATGCCGAACCCGGTCAATCCCAACGAGAAAAAAATTGAACGACTCAAATTAAATCGCCAGCTGATTCTCTAGGAATAATCGAGCCCCACCAAGTCTATTATATATTAGTCGCTGCTACGCATCAAAACCAAATGGTCTCAGTCCATTTACATGACACTCGTGTTTTACAATCGTCACAATGGACGCCTCAGTGTATACTCTGAACAGCGGAGATGTGAAGGAAGAGAGAGATAGGCTTGACTGGCAACACAACATCTTCAAAGCTATTTTTGAGGGCAACTTGCTCCCCAGTGATCTAGAAGTCGAGCTGAAATCGGCCGATTCACTCGCGATTGCCGACGTTGCAACGGGAACAGGCGTCTGGCTTCGGGATCTGGCGCGTCAGCTACCCAACTCGGCTCGCCTAGATGGTTACGACTACGATACCTCCAAGTTTCCTGCTGAAGATACCGTCGCTTCAAACATCAAGTTTCACTTTGCCGACGCTTTGCAGCCATTTCCTGACCATTTACACGGTACTTACGATCTGGTTCACATCCGCCTCATGATGTATTCTTTCCGGCGAGACGAAATGCAACTTGCCACGAAAAATGTCAGAGATTTGCTCAAGCCGGGAGGCTGGATAGTGTGGGAAGATACCGGCTACAACTCATGGACCTCGCTTCCCATGGGACCAAACTTTGCAAGCTTCATCGGACTTGATTTCAGATACGCAACACAGGTGGGCCGAGACACATTGTAAGTGACTTGAATACGTTTCGAAATATGGACGACTAACAGCCTTGCAGAATGCCGCTTAATTTAAAATCGCTTTTTGAGCAAGAGGGTTTTGTCAACTGCAGTGAGAATATCTTTAGCATGTTCAAGGTAGGTGGTGGGAAAGAAACAGGGGGCATGGTCACTATTCGCGTGGCTCGGCAATCACTGATGGGGATGATCGAAAAGGGAGGGTTTGAGGTTATTCAAACTGAGGATGATGTCGAGAAGACTATCCATGGACTTCTCACGGAGCTCAATCAGGGTCATCGGATGGGGATGGCGATGTCGCGCGTCGTTGGCCAAATACCCAAGTAAGAGTAGATGAGGATGCGGGCTAGGCTTACTTGGTCAAACGTCAAATTAGGGGTTCGTGAAGGAAACTACATAACATCAGGAGTTAGTAGGAGAGCGGTCACAGCAGCAAGAATCATTCTGCTCTGTTGGTGTACCTAGGAAGAACAATACATATTAAATGCAAGGGATACCCATGTGCCAAACAAAAGTTAACAACGCGAATCTTGGATTTGTGTTTGCAATACTCCGATTATCATCAGCGCTACTATTGGAGGTGTTTCATTTCTTGTTATAGCTGTTCCTATCATCTGGGTTCTACATGGACAGTATTTCACGCGGCATGTGCTGGGATGTGAAGACTTTGAAATGATGAAATACTAGCCCTTGCAAGAAGGCCTATGTCGATTGGGGCGAAATCCGGCCGATCATCCTCCCGGACACCCGGACTCTAACTCTGGTCTTTGTGAGCCGGAGGTGGTTGAGGCATCAGAGCTTGTATGCTTCGAATCCTGTGCATAGCTGCAGAATTTTGACCCTCAAGAGCCAGAAAACAGTGAAAAAGTTGAGTCAATATATTGATAATCACATAGCTTGAGCGTGGATCCTTGATGTAATATTAAATGTCCATGACAGATGCGTTGTCAAGACTTATTTGCCCGCCTCAAGGGCTGGGGACAAAACACCCATGAATACTAGCCAAAAAATCACGGCTGCCACTGATTATGTATCGAAATCACTGGGCATAGCATTGTGAAAAGGAATGAATATGGTTGCGACGTCCAGGGTGAAGATGTAGTATAGACAAATGGATATAAAAAGATCAAGGAATAATATACATTCGCCTTCGGGAGATATAGCAGACTTTATAAATGATTCACCTCTTCCAAAATGGGCCTAGCCGGTCCGAGTCATTTCGGGGTGTGACTTCTAGTTCTAGGCCTTTATCAAGGATGGAGGGAGTCGTCGGACCGGTATGCGTGACGTCAAGATTAGAACAAGAGCAGTGTCTAATAACCTTGGACATCCAATGAAACAGCATCTCAGGCCCCTCCTTCAGCTCATCCTTTGTAATTGTATCCCCAGCCCCTAATTTTATGTGAGACCAGATTGTCGGTACCAGAGGCTCGAGCGTAGCTTGTGGCTGCGCTAACGGTGCCGTTCAGGTGTAGAGCAAAGGCAGGGCTCAACCGATCTGCACCACTATAAGATCAAACGAGACCCCAACCTGAATCAGATTTTTTTCGATGTTGTATTTCCTTTCCTGTGTTCCCACACCCCGCTAGCTCGTGTCGCCCTTCAATAACAAACTGCATCTCCGTCCCCTCCGATCATCATCGCCCCTTGGGTGGACTCACGTCGTTGTACATCAAATTGGGCGGCATGCTCGATCCCCCAGACGGAGCAGGACGGACTCTTCGTGACATTTCGATTGCCTTTCTTGTACTGACATGGTTTATTGTTATCCTTCGTATGTCGGTGCGTATCTCGAGGAAATGTGTTGGTGCGGATGACTGGTCTATGGTCGCGGGGCTGGTATGTCTGCCCTCATGAATCGTGCTTGGTATTCAATTGACAGTGCTCAAGGTTCTCTTCTCAGTTGTCTGTGCTACGACCATTATGTCGGCATACAATGGAATAGGCGCATATGATAGCCAGACATCGGCAGAAACAAAGCAGGAGGGACGGAAGGTAGGTTTCTACTCCCGGAGCAGTAGGTATGTTATATAGCGACATCTGACGGGAAACAGTGGTTTTTCCTCTTCCAAATCTTCTATTGTGCCACCACCGTTCCAATCAAATCTTCCATATGCATCATGCTGATACGCCTCACTCCTTTCACCGTCTACCGTTACATTCTATACGGCGTCATCATCTTCAGCACCCTCTCTGCGTTTTCCACCATCGTTGGGATCCTGGCCCTGTGTACTCCGGTAGCCAGAACATGGGATTTTAACCTGCAGGGTCACTGCGGTCCGCCAGAAATTCTCACGAGATTGGGATATTTCATCTCCGCCTCATGCATCGTGTCTGACTGGTCGTGTGCCATCATGCCCATATTCATCCTCTGGAACAGTCAAATGAGATGGTTGATGAAGATTTCGGTTGGAGTTGTCCTGGCACTCGGTGTCTTGTATGTTTATATATCCATCGTTGAACACCTTGAATGCATATGTGCTAATATTTTCTCGCTTTCCGCCAGAGCCAGCACGGGAAATCTGATACGCTTCCAGTATGTCATCGCATACGAAAATACGACCAACTATTATTACGGGATCGCAAATATTGCAATCTGGTCGATCGTCGAATCGGGAACTGGCATCATCGCTGGATCGACACCTGCATTGGCACCCTTGATCAAGCATATACCAATCATCGGTAAGGGATTTACAAATCCCGAGGGTGGCCAGCAGGATCCTAAGAAACGATGGCGACTGCGACATATCACAAACACCTTTCCTTCGAGATTTAAAACGCACGAATCTACGCCACAGCCGACGGATAGTCAAAGTGGCCAAACCGCCCAAACCGTCATGACATCGGGAAATAGTTCTGGGGCGGCCAGGTGATGCCTCCACGAGAAAAAGAATGCAAGTTTGATAGACTATTGTTACGGGCACTTCGAGTAGGCCGATACCCAGGCAGCCGGTACCTTGATATGCTGACCTAACTTGATTTATTGTATATATTCAAGGTATTAATGACCATAGATTCTTTATTTTATGTGCCAAGATTGACTGTTAGCAGTGACGTTACTTGCAGAACATACGGACTTAAAACACTCGATCGGCGTAATGCAATCGCCATATTTGTCCGCGCCGGATCGAATCGAGTTTCAGAAAGCATGTCCGCTAAATGTAAAGAGCTAAATTTATGAGCAATATGCAAGCGTGTGAAGAGTATAAAATAAGTCTTGTGATCTAGAGAGTCCTAGAGCGAATCTGGGTCTTATTGGACTCCGAATGATATCTACTTGCGCATTGCGCGTATAGCAGCTCTAAATCGAGGGCCATATGGTCCGAGAAAACGATTGTTTTACAGCTTAGAAAATACGAAGACCTTGGTAGAACCATCCACACTTCATTCATCGGAAACTATATCTTGGTGTACTGGCAGCATCGTAAACATCATACTCTGATATCCTGTCGGCGCTGCTCGTACCTTGAACGATCCACCAGACACGGCATCCCACGTCCCTGAAAATCACTGTTTAGCTGACCGACTCGTTCGCGGTAGCGCTTCACTAGATAAACTAGATGAACACTAATTTCACCCTCACTGTCTTCGTTGAGCCCAAAGCCGCGCACTGGTGCGCATTTCTCCATCTTCTCCCCCTACCAAGAACCAGTACTTTTGCAGAAACCATTCCTTCGGCTCCCAGCTACGTGGGTCCCATGGCACTTCCATCTCCATGCCTCGATTTGCCGTGCTTTCTTGATCTGCAGGCGAACCTCCCCAGCATACCAAACCCTCGGCATCCATGTCCTTGCACATCATCTCCTCGCAAAATAGAGGGGGGTCACATGCCAATGCTGCCACAGCCCTCTCCCGAAATTCACGGAAAGGGATAATGTCGAGGTAAGGATGGTGTGCGTGTTTAAGTTGCGCATCACAAGGTGCCAGACCTGGCGGTACATGAGCCGCAAACCGAGCACGGGCGACTTCAAGTTCATCTTGGGGATATCCCTTTTCGTGGTCAATGCTAAACGGCGAAAGGCCGTCGTTCTTGAGAACTTCGCAGTTGAAGAGACCGATAGCCTCTGAGTTTGAAAGAATAGCTTGGTAGAAGTTGGAGTTAATGACTCTGATCAGATTCACTCTTGGGTCGGGCAAAGAGGAGTGGCAAGCCAGGGTGTTCCTAAGCTTGGCCTCAAACATCCGGACTTCTCTCTTTATGCGAATTAGTATTCTTCGTGAGTCACGAGATTCGACGTGATCCACTGATGAGAATGGGATGAATTGAGATATTTGCTGGGATTCAGAGTTTTTGCCAATCTCATCGTCAGCCTCAATTAGCAGTGTACTCAATATCTGGCGCTTTTGAGACAAGGGCAAGCGTTGGATGATACCAAGAACAGTAGATACCGGATCTGCTGTAAGGTTTTCGTCAGGAACCGGATCCGTTAATGGGTTATTTTGTTGTCCGCCTTGAACATTCTCATATAGAGATGGAGCAGCCACCCCAATCATTAAGGACGGTGGCTGTTGGATAGATGATAGTTCTAACGTGTTTGAGAGCGAGGCCCAGGACGAATAGGGTGCAATATGATCGGCGCCTGCCTCGAGCAAAATTCTTTCAGTTGATGGGGATGAAAAATACTGGATAGCATGATTGTCACATGTTTCAAAGCTACCAAAGCCCCCGTCAAGGTATCTTATTCCGGAATCAGGGACAGCCACGTTTTGGAGAGTACTGATACTAGGCTCGGCAGTAGATGAAACTGTTGGTATGTAATCTGAACAGAAGTCCGATTTCGGTGTAGATGGTTGATTTCCTGCCGTCTCTGGATAATCAAGGAGTTGGTTGAGTAAAGAGAGCCGCTGCTTTCTCCTAAACCCTGTAAGGCGAGCTCCGCTTAGCAGCTCATTCCGAGCACCAATAGTAGTCTCTGTAACGGCATCACTCACGGTACTTTTGGGCTGCGAGACGGTTTTGCTCCTTCCGAATCTTGCTATTGGGTCTTTTCTCCGGGGTGGCTGCGTGACCCAGCCTCTTCGAACTTGCTGATGATGATGGTGATGATGATGGCGGGGCTGACACCTGGTTCAAGGCCGTCATCTTCTGTGGATTTATGTTCATTTCGTTGTTCATTTCATGAGATTGCCTTCGGGCCATTGCGCTGGTAAGTTGCATCTGCGGGACTGTAACAGTTGGAATTAGACCTGGTGCCACCATCGGAAGGGGACAAAGTTCCCTTCGGAGATTATGGCGATTATCCACAAGTTAAGTCCGCAGTGATGACTTCCTTTCAACACTTGTTTGGCTGGCTTGAATTAACCCTAGTTGCCCACTACTACACAGATCCAGAGGTACTTAATAGCTGTAATTTTTCTTCGGGCTTTGCTATATACTGTCAACGTCCAGGATGCTGCCGATAAGGCAGCCACGAAGTAGACAATCGATCCAAATTCAACTGGGTCTGCTTCCGTCAAGTCAACCTTTTTTCGTCTGCATTTACTGGCGTTGGTGATGGCCATGCATGCTGACGCCAGCCAAAGCTACTTTCCTCCTGCTGACGCCAGCACCGTCATCCAAGTCACGTCATGAATACACGCCTAAATTGTCATTGCCAGAGGTTGGAAGGAAAAGGTGTATAAATATTGGGAGGGAGGACTCATCCAATTGAGAATAAACCTCAGAAGTCATTCAATACAATCATTAGAACACAGAACCATTGATCTTTCACTCTCAACAGCCGATCTGTGAACAAACCAAAATGGCCGAGGGAACCTCAAATACCCGCGTCGCATTCGAGCATATCATGCGAGAGAAAGATAAAGTCGGCGATGCGTACTTCAAAACCTCGGACTCTGTCGCGGAAGAACTACACAATGAGATGGTTGGTAAGACAGGTACGTCCCGTTGAGATCTCATAGCTATCATCAATTTTATTTTCTTAACACGCTCACAAATCATCAAGTCATCATCACAGGAGTAACTTCAGGCAGTCTTGGAGCCGACGCAGCAAGAGTCATTGCTGCCCACGAACCAAAGTTGCTTATATTGGCCTCCAGGTCAGAGTCCGCCATCGCCAAAACGATCGAAGAAATCAAGCCCACCGCCTCTACCGGAACTAGGATCGAACCATTGATCATCGATCTTGGCGACCAGCTCTCTGTGCGAGCAGCCGCCAAAAAGGTTCTCGAGTTGACCCCGGTCGTCGATGTCTTGATCAATAGTGCAGCCCTTATGATGATCGAGAAGTACACCACAAATGCCGACGGTATTGAGATGCATCTTGCAATCAACCACCTCGGCCATTTCCTGTTCACCAACCTCATCATGTCGGCATTGTTGAAGTCGGACGGCCCAGGCCGCGTCGTCAACATTTCGGCAGCAGCTCATCGTATCGGACCCTTCCGTTTCAACGACTACAACTTTGCCGATGGAGAAGCTTACGATCCGCTTTTGGGCTATGCTCAGTCAAAGTGTGCTAACCTGCTCTTCACTCTCGGTCTAGCACAAAGGCTTGGAAACAAAAAGCTCTTGAGCTATGGCGTCGACCCCGGTGGCTCGATTACCAACCTGTTCCATCGCGCTCCGAAAGAGGAGATGCTCAAACACGGTTGGCTCTTAGAGAATGGAGATCCAAGCCCTGCCTTGCTGGGAAGCTTGAAGTCTGTTCAACAATCAGTCGCGAGTTACATTGTGGCAGCGTACAGCCCAGAAATAAAAGGTTAGTAGGAAGGGGATTAAAAAGCTCTTGTTGGAATTATCAACTTACGTTATCATGTGCAGACAGAAACGGGTGCACCATCACTGGTGGCATTGTTGATGACACTGTGGCCGAGCATGCTAAAGATCCGGAAGCAGCAGAGCAGTTATGGAATCTCAGTGAGACTTTGGTTGAAAAAAGTTTAACCACTGAAGCAAACCGTGAGGTTGGAATTCAATCATGGTGGACTAGCAATTGCCCAACCCTTACTCCCTGTTTGCCTACCGAACTCCGGTTCTCGATATAGACCCCTAGGAGACATAAGACTATCATTTGCATTTGAGTTAAAAGAAAATGACACCCAAAGTTTTTTCTTACTATCTTTTTTAAAAAAATCTGGCTTCTGACCTTTCTTCTCGGATTTCTAAGGGATTGTGCCCAACGCGTAGGGTACTTACCAATGACGGAGTCAAGAGTGCCATGCCTGATATTTTCTTGCGTACTCCTGCGTCTGTGTAAAGGTAAAAGAGTTAAGACTCCTTAGCTAGAAAGAAACGCTTGAAAATACTCTGAAGAAAATAGTGTATATGGCAATTAAGATAATGAGCTGTCTAACGATATCGTCTATATCAACGACAAACATAACCATAGGGGAAACTCTTCTTGCCCAGACAGCTCGAGGAATTATTATTATATTTTATTTTCGATACATAAATATATGAACGGTTATGAGGCTGGCTTGAGGGCATACATCTTGACTGGAAATAGCCTCCTGGTGGGCGTTTCTGGAAATCCGCGTTGCATATCCGATTTGATCAGCTTCAAACCAGCCCGTTCAAACAATCTAAGAAATGTACCATCTTCCCTATTGAGTTATTAGCTTGGTAGTCCCCTTTTAGAATCTAATCCATCAGCCTTCTGCTACTTGGCATGGAAGGATTGCCTCACCTGACCAAACTACTGTCCGTTGCATCAAACATGTCGGCACCGCTAGTGCTTTGATTTTCCTTGACAACAATGACACCCGAGTTCGGCGTCAACACGCTTTTGCAAAGCTCCAGATACTCCACCATCTGGTCATCTGTGACGTGACCCAGGCACCATTGCGTCCAAATCAAGTCATATGTTACACCCTCAGGGGGTTGCCATGCTTGCAAGCCGACGTTGAAAATGTGCCGCACGCCGGCCTTATCTTTCAAAGGATCTGTGAATTTAGACACGGGCTCAATGATGTCAACCTGCTCGGCAACATGGAGGAGCAATCCTTCGGTAATTCTGCCAATCCTGCGTAGTAACCCATCAGTAAAGGTTGAGTGAATGCTACCCGGGCTTATGAAGCATTGTTGGGGAGACATCCCTGGGGACGAGGGAAAGGATCATTGGCCGGGGACGGAAGCGACACTCACCCTGCGCCAGCATCCAGGGCCGTCGCGACCAGATTCCGGCCGCGCTTAGCACCGATGCCTAGCCTTGCAAGAAATGTTCGGGACCCTTGCAGGTCGATCCTAGATACGGAAGCAAAGCCGGCAACCCCAAGCACACCCCCAAGCATGCCGTTATCTGAGGCATCGGCCTCTTGCCAGTACTTGGTTCCCGCCTGGGAGTTGATCATATGATCTGCGGGGCCGGATTGAGCCATTTTTAGCTCTCAATAGTGCAGTTTTGGCTTCCTGCTGTGACCTTGGCGTGCAGAGTGTTTTATGTAAATGAATACGCGCCGTTATAGGCTGGTGGTGACGGCGATTGGTGGATATGTCGAGGGTGGTTGGTCAACGCATGAGCTTATGGTGAATGAATGCAACGACGAAGAAAACCGGCGGGTTCTTTGTGCATTTACTCCTGGCCGCTGACCGAAGATCAGGCTCCGAAACGAAAGTCCAGTAAGGCGGACAGGAGGCAGGGGACTCGGTTCCGGGCAGTCGTGTCTTGGGTAAAGCTGAGCAGAATTTGTGGGCAGATTTTTGCCTGGTCGAATTGTCGCTAGAGGCCGAGCATTAGTCATACGAGAATCCACTTTCTGGACGCCTTTTCTGCCTCTTCTTACCACCATCAATAAAATGTGATATTACGCTGCACCACCTGCATAAGGTATGCTGCCATGGTACAATCTGGACTGGTTCGGGCGGCGCACAGCAAAGGATTTGATCTTGCGCCGTCATCTTCCCTGTCCTGGGATAGCTCTGCTCAGGATTCAAGCCACTGACTGCGCCTTGAGGATTATTAATTAACACTGCTGCAACCAGCGGTTCTAGATTTGAATGCTACACATGTGTATACATACGCGTATGGAGCCTCACCGCAATTGTAACCCTTTGCTGCGACCTCTTGAAGGTAACGCGCGCATAGGCCCTTGCATATGGTTTGGTTCGCCTGCAGGGGAAAAAAAGTGTCGATTCTCTCTGGTTCTTGGTGCACTGCCCCCAACTCATTCGATGCTACGTGGCAGCCATGTGGACTGCACGTCGGAACTTTGCTGCGAACTCGCGCACAGCTGATGAACCTAATTCCCATGGGATCCGAATCTACATTTCAGCTACATTGACCCTGGTTGTCTGTCGTTGTGATGGCTCGTGCTTGATCGGCCAGGCGGATAGCGTTGCGGACTTGATCAGATCCATACAAATTGCTAAAAACAAGTCCGATGATCTGATTTACCTACTTACTACCTTCTTAGTTTCATTCGTACTATGTCTGCGGCAATCTGCACTGCGAATCCTTCAAGCCAGATACTGGCCCCTGCGCTTCCCGCTGCAGGCTGATGTGATCATACATGAAGAGACGCATTGTGCCCACGCCGAAAGGATTTTGGGACTTGCGATCGCATCCAATTCCCTAAACGAGCTACGGCTTTCAATTACTTCGTAGGTTGAACACCGGTGGTAATTTTGTGGTAGATCTCTATTCAATGTTGACAGAAAGAACGCGCACTATCATTAGATTAAGCCCTCCATCATCTTCCATAGTAATTTGACGTCGTGATAGTTGTAACAGTATCGACCCTGATTCTGTCCTCGACCGTCGGTTCGGGGCTGTATGACATGAGATATTCATCCTTCAATGTCTCGCCACTGCTCTCTCGATGCCCCCTCACCTCCGTCTTCACGCCGGGCGGTGCGGCGTATCCTAATTCTAGCCCCAGCTCTTCTTGGCTCTCTCCTGGCTGATCTCTGTTCTTCGATCTGAAGTAAGGTGGTCGGCTTCGATTTCCGCTTTCATTAAAAGTTCGGTCTCGTGTCTTGCTGCCTGATTTCCCCTCGTCCGTCTTGCCATACGCGCTCGCCGCATTGCTAACCCAGGGCATCGCCTGCTTCATCAAGGCCCCCATCGCCGGGAGGCAGGCGACAATGATCGTGACGGATAATTCCAGCCCGCTCCACATCAGGATATCTTCGTAGTCCCATGTCGGATTGTATGTGCGGCCAAAGGCGGCAATATAGGGCACTCGGACGCACGAGGTGAC